CTCACACTTAGCAGAGTCAGATTCCAGCCACCCCACGGACTCCCAGTCCTGGTCTCTTTAACATGAACGTCCTGACCACTCCATACTGGCTATGGGCCCATGGGCCACTGTCCTTCCATGCCAGGAGCTATTGCACATTCTGTGGACTAAGGGATAATGGATGCATGAAAATCATGCATGTATTACATGATATTCCTGTGGGCATTTTTTCCTGTTATTTGACTTCATATTGAACTGGCTGCATTTAAAAATAAATACATAAATAATAAAAATTTAAAAACTATCATCAGTGTATTTTCTTATTTTGGGTCATTGTGGATTAGCTTGCTGCAGACCAACTCTTCCACCAAGAACAATTAGAAAGGCCTCGAAAAATAAAAATAAATAACTTGTTTATGTACGCCTTCAAAAAATGGCCACTTTTGTGATATTCTTTCTGTATGTAGTTTCATCAGTTTTATTACACTGACTTTGGTGTGTTTTTTTTAATACATAGTTGATTTAGGATTTATTGAGTTTTAATCTGTGGTTTGATATCTCTCAATTGGTTAAAGTTTTAGGCCTTAATTCTTCAAGTATTGATTCCCCCCTCCTTTTTTTCTCCTCCCCTATTATACAGTGCCAGTTCCACATGTACCTTTTCACCATGTCCCATATCTCTCTTAGGCTCCTATCTGTATTTTCAAGGAAAAGACTTCTCAACAGAAAAAAAGAGAGGTCAGAAAACCTGAAAATGCAATATTCAGAGGGTTGAAAGAAAATAAATGTCACTTTAGATTTCTATACACATGAAAAGCATCATTTATAAACAAAGACAAAATAAAGACATTTTCTAACAAGTAAAACCTAGTAGAATTTGTAACCAAAGGACACTTCCTAGAAAAAAACAATATTATCCCAGAAGGAAAGATAAAGACAATGGGAATAATAAAAAGCAAGAAGAATGATAAATATGTAGGTAAACCTAAAGCATATGGACTTTATAAAATAATAATGCATTTGCTTTGAAATATCTAGAGAATGAAATACAGGGCAACAAAGGTACAAGATATGAGAGGGAAGTAAGTAAATGGAGTTAAAAGGTCTGAAGATCATTGAAAGTAAATAGGAATTCACACCAGACTTCATAAATAATGGATTCATGTTGTAAACTCTGGGTAACTACTCAAAATAGAAACTGTATACATTAAAATTATTATTTTATTAAAAAAAAGCAATGAAAATATTTAACAAAAAATAGTCATTAAAGAAAAGAAGAAATATAGAACTGATGTTAAAAATAAAAAAAAAACTAATCAGAAAATGATACATTTTTAAGCACAAGTATATGTTATTACATTAAGTATAAACCAATTACATACTCCAAATAAAAAAGTTTGGCAGACTGGATTTACAAAAATAAAAACAAAAATGTAAAATATCTTGCAACCTTTTTCTGAATCTGAGAAATATTCAGAAAAAATCGTTTGAAAACTTTCTACCAATATTTTGACAAAACCCTTTGAAAATAGAAATACAATGAAATTTTATGTGTTAAAGATTTACTTCAAATAACTTAAAAAGGAAAACATACATAACAAGAAACTGTTGAAACTTTGCCCTTAGATCAGGGATGATGTATGAAACAAACTTTTCTTCAGTGTTGTATTGGAGGTCCTAGCCGAGGCAATAATACAAGAAATTTAAATAAAACAGGCTTAAAGATTGGAAAGGAAGAAATAAATCTGTCACTATTTGCAGAGATCACATTATATACTTCTGCATATATTTATAGACATTATGTATATATTATACATATGCATTTATATATTATGCATATATTAGCAAAGTTTATGGATACACGGTTCTATTAGTCGGCTAGGGCTGCCATAACAAAATATCACAGACTGGGAGGCTTAAACTATTGAAATGTGTTGTCTCACAGTTCTGGAGGCAAAAGTCCAAGATGGAGGTGTCAACTGAACTGGTTTCCCTAGAAACGTCTCTCCTTGGCTTGCAGATGGCCATCTGCCTGCTGCTACTTCACATGGCTGTCCCTCCACGAACACTTAATTCCAGTGTCTCTTTTGTGTCCAAATTTCCTCTTCCTCTTCACATTAGTTCTACCAAATTAGAGTCTCACCCATATGACCTCATTTAACCTTACTTACTTCTTTAAAGTCCCTAAATTCACATACAGTTACGTTCTGAGATATTGAGTATCAAGACTCCAATATATGAATTTTAAGAAACACAATTCAGTCCATAATAAAGATCAATATGCAAAAATCTATTATATCTCTGCATACAACAATTAGAAAATAAAATTTTAAAAATATTGCTTATAATAAGACATAAACCCTGAAATTGCAAGGAATAACTGTTACAAGAGTTTTGTAAGGCCTCTGTGTAGAAAATTATTTAACATAATTAAGAGAAATTTAAGAGGACAAATAAATGCATAGATATACCACGTAAATGAGCTGAAATGCTCGATAGTTTAAAGATCTCTATTTTATTCAAATTGATATATGTAATCTCAATTAAAATTCCAGCAGGTCTCTATAGAGATTTAAATTATGAAGCAAAAATCCATTTGGAAATGCAAATAGCCAAGAATAGCCCAGATAAGCTTGAACAAGAATAGCAAAGTTGAAAGAATTTTTAGAAAGATGTCAACTGACAGAGATAAATAGAGCATGGACTGTTATAGGATCTAGAAACAGACCCACACATAAATGGACATGTAATTTATTCAGAAGCTGGTACTGCAGTGTTGTAAAGAACATCATGATTTATTTATGATTTTGAATAAATTATAATGGCTAAAGTGGATATTCACAGTAAAAATAATATGTTGACCCCCACTTTATACAATGGACAAAAATCCCTTCGGAGTGGATTTTATATCTAATTCATAAAAGAACAATAAACCTTCTAAAAGGTAATATACAAGAATATATTTTAAGAACAGGCAAAACTTTCTAAACAGAACACAAAAAATTTAACTGTAAAAGAAGATAGTGATAAATTACATTAAAATTATGAACAATTCAATATCAGAAAGTAGAAGTGCAAACCAGAGTGAAAATGTGTTTTAATATGTATACTCAACAAAAAATGCATATGCAGAATTCTTTGACATCTCACAAATTAATAAGTGAAAGATAGATCAATGGATTAATATGAATTTAAGTTTCCTTGGCACCTGAACCAAATAATCAGAAACCAATCATTGTAACTCTTTCTAGTAAAATAAAAAGTGGAAGATACATGAAAGTTACAATGCAATCAGAACTTCTAAAATGTAAAGTAATCGTTTTATAAAGTCCTTCCGAAATGCAGCTTGTTTTTATTATCTTGCACTGTCTTTTTACTCATTATTTTTACATTAAATTACATGAATCAAAAAAAAAACTTTTCCAGTCATTTTCATTCTAAGGCAAAGTAGGGTTGCTAGACCATAATAGTTTATTCTTTTGTTTAATTTTTGTTCATTATATTGCTATGGTTTGAATATTTGTCTCCTCCAAAACTCCTGCTGAAACTTAATTCCCCATCTGGCAGTATAGAGAGGTGGGGGCTTTAAGTGACCACAGGTCATAAGGGCCCATAAATTAATTAACCCATTGGGTTTTCACGGGAATGGGATTGGGGTCTTTTTAAGAAGAAGAGAGACCGCATGCACCCGTCACCATACAATTGGCCCCTTTTCTTTATAAACTACCCAGGTTCAGGTATTCCATAATAAGCAACAGCAAACAAAGACATATGTATTTCTTTTTGAAACCACTGTTTATGTCAAACTCTACCAGCTGGTCATAGAAATGGCAAATGGGAAAAAAATAAGTAGTAGACAGATAGGCCACCTCATATTCAGAGGGAAGATTTTTTATATTTTCATTCACAATCATTTCTAAAATTCTGTAAATTAAAAAGATGGTGTATTTTTACAATAAATATAGAAATGTTCAGGAGAAAAATATCTCTAGATTAAAACAAAGCACAAAAGAAAGAGACTTCATCCCCTTCCAATCTATTAAAGTCTGCAAGCTATAATGAATTCATTTTCCTATTCTCTGCAATGATTATTTCAAATATTTTCACTTCTAAAAGCTCTCTATTTTTCAACAGCAGCCCCTGTTTCTAACTTCTTTGAGAGATCAGCCATTGATCTAGCTCAGATTTGTATTGCCATTCTACAAACTCGCCTGCATTTCATTCACCATTTTCTCCTTCTCTCCTGTTAACCAGGAGCAGGTGCCTCAGGTTTGTTTCAGCTCAGCTTTGCCCCAGGTACCATGGAACTCATCCATGCCAGCTCTCCATCATTAAGCACTCCGGTCTATAAATTATCTCCTTTCTACTGTATATTCAATCTATCTTCTGTGTATACGCATCAGCATTAAAAATTGTTTTAAAATCTGTCTGGCCTGGCGCGGTGGCTCTCACGCCTATAATCCCAGCACTTTGGGAGGCCGAGGCGGTCGGATCATCTGAGGTCAGGAGATCGAGACCATCCTGGCTAACACAGTGAAACCCCGTCTCTACTAAAAATACAAAAAATTAGCCGGGTGTGGTGGCGGGCGCCTGTAGTCCCAGCTACTCGGGAGGCTGAGGCAGGAGAATGGCGGGAACCCGGGAGGCGGAGCGTGCAGTGAACCAAGATCGCGCCACTGCACTCCAGCCTGGGCGACAGAGCGAGACTCCATCTCAAAAAAAAAAAAAAAAAAATAGCCAGGCATGGTGGTGGGCACCTGTAATCCCAGTTACACTCGGAATGCTGAGAGAGGAGAACCGCTGGAACCCAGGAGGCGGAGTTTACAGTAAGCTGAGATCGCGCCACCGCACTCCAGCCTGGCCGACAGAGCAAGACTCCATCTTTATAAAAATAAAACCAAAAAAAGCCCTCTGTATCCTTCTCATTACTCATGTAACTCTTTCTCCCCACCAGAAACTTCCTTAAAGCTGCTACTTTGCTCTCTCCATTTCCTCACCCCCACCTGCAACTCAGTCCTCACCTCACTCGAGTCTCTTCTGCCCCAGCACGAAGTAGCAACCGCTCTCCTTAAGGCACCCAGTGATCCCCTGCGGCTGTATCCAACAGTGTCTCCACATCTTTCCCCGCAAAATGGATTCTGCTCCTTCATCCGCGATGTCAACAAACAAATGGCAACATGTTCTACTCCGTTCGCGTCAGAAGTCAAGCAAGAGACGGCCGGTGGCTGGAGCCCCGTAGAGAGTGTGGATTCCCCACTCGGTCCTTATGGAATTCTGCTGTTTCCACGGGCGACAGATCGTGTGGCTTCAACGCCAAACCAAAGTTCAAAGCTTTTCCAAGTTGGTCAACTGCCTAAACTTAAACGCGGGAGTTGGTATTTCTGCTGGAAAAGCAACTCTCCACACACCTCGGACAGGACCAGAACCTTCCGGTTCCCTTCTCTCCTCAGAGCCCACGGGAAACGGGGGAGCCTGACCCTACCTGACCCGGATGCAAACGTGGCCAACGACCCCGGGGCCAGTCAGGACTCCTGAGAGTCTGAGGCTCCCACATGGAACGGCATAGGATGTCTCTGCCTGCTTTGCTATTTAGTGGCCAGAGCCCGCCCTGTCCCAGGGTCCCGTGGCCTCACAGCTGACTGGGCTGAGGACTCCCCGTCTCACCCGGAGCTCCCCAGGCCTGGATTCTGCCCTGACCCCAGCCAGGGTCCGCGAGGCTCCACCCTCCCGCCTTGGGGGCTCCACCCAGGCTGGGCCCAGCGTAGCGATGCCCGGACCTCCTAGATCCACTCTCTCCAGGTGATGAGCCAAGGCCGACCTCATCTCAGGCTCCCTAGGCAGGTGCCCGGTCCTAGAGAAGGGCTCTCTGCAGGGGCCCCGCCCTCCGGGGTCCTGTCCTGTGCTAGGTGGAAGGCAGCAGCATGGGACGTAGAAATTCCAGAGACTCCAGCTGCTCTGCTGGAAAATGGAATTGAAAACATTTTGCGCGCTCGAGAGAACTATCTGCCCATGAAAGCTTTTTGTAGTGACGCAAATTATCCCCTCCAATTCCGGGTTAGGGGTGTGCAGAAGCAGGGGAGCCACCGTCATATGCTCCAAATTCTCCTAACGATGGAGTGAACATATTAGGGACTTTCTTCAAGTAAGAAGTTCAGGGGCACCGTCCAGGTGCTCAGCGAGCTGAGTTCCTTCTGACTTCTTTCCACTCCTGCAGAGGGATTCCAGCCTCAGGGTCACAGAGGCACAGTCCCTGCTAGAGAAACAGCACCGGGTTTAACTGTAAGGAGGGCCATCTCCGGGGTCTTCAGCCCCCATTTCACGGATCAATTAATGACACTTATAATGAACATATGGATTGTATACATATTACTATATTAATTATATATTAATCTATTAATTAGGCAAATATATTGATATATTTATAATAATTTTATAATAACAACTGACCCTTATTAATAAATTACAAGTAAGACCATTTGCCTTTTTTTTTTTTTTTTGAGACAGGGTCTCACCTGGAGTGCAGGGGCACCATCGCAGCTCACTGCAGCCTAAATCTCCTTGGATCAAATGATCTGTCCACCTCAGCCTCCCAGGTAGCTGGGACTGTAGGCACATACAACCACACCTAGCTCATTTTTATTATTAGTAGTAGTAGTAGTAGTAGAGAAGAAGTCTTACTGTATTGCCCAGGCTGGTCTGAAGTGATCCTACCACCTTGGCCACCCAAAGTGCTGGGATTACAGGACTGAGACACCGCACGGCCCATTTGCTTTTAAATTGTTGGATAATGTTAAGAAAGCATGGAGAACTCCCACTGTTGAAAGTTTTAACATTGCACGTTTCACTTCATTAGACACAAAAATGCACTTCCAGATCCTTCTTCAGGAAGAACTCACTGGTCAGAGGCAGGGAGTGGGGTCAGCAGACACCAGGTCCAGCTCTCAGCCCTTCCAGGGTCAGCCTCAGCTGCAGTAAGCCACCCTGCCCATGGCCACCCCATTTTTTGGGTGCCCATATCCAGAAGCTGAACAGGTGGGAAGCAAAGCCCTGAGCTTGCTGCAGGACGACTCTGCCATCAATTCCCCACCCCGGTTGCCCATCATGCAGGGAGACTTGGTGACATCACACCTGGACCTTACCTCTGTCCAACGCTGCCTCCTCCCTTTTGCTTCACAGGTGGTAGAGCAAATGAACATCTTGCCCCTCAAACGTCATCTCTTGCCCCTCAAACATCATCGCAGGGTCTGCACCTAGGAAAATCAACCTGAGACACAATAGCACTATTATTGTGCATTGTTTTCCATTTTTATTTTTCAGATAGTTTGGCAAAAGTCTTTTTAAACAATGGAAATAATTTTTAGAAAACTATGATCCATTTTTAGAAACCTTTTACAAGAAACAATTCCAAAGTAATTACTATATTTCTAAAATAATTTTTCTTCTTTTTTTTTTTTTTTTTTAGATGGTGTTTCACTCTGTTGTCCAGGCTGGAGTGCAACGGCACGATTTCAGCTCACTGCAACCTCCACCTCCAGGGTTCAAGCGATTCTCCTGCCTCAGCCTCAGGGGTAGCTGGGATTACAGGAGTGAGGAGAGATGGCCTTGGTGGTCCTCCTTAGGCTGGCAACATACAGATGCAATTGTTCACATACCAGCTTCTCATAGCGCTACCAAAAGTCTTCAATGCCTGTGGGTTTGTTTCATATCTTGAACTACTATTTTAAATAACTCTGTTATTCAATGTCAAATCAAAAGCCATTATTTGAATGGCTTTTCATGGGGGGGACTTTTCTGTGTTTTTTTTTTTCAAGTTGTCTACTTTCACCCCTTCAGCTTTTAATTTTGCATGCCTTTTTTTCCCCCATGAACAGTAACTGGGCCTCCCATGCCAAGAAGCAGGGAGAGGCACAAAATTCCTCAGAGATACTGTGTATTCTACCTCCATGACTTCCACACACCATTCTTAGAAATAGGAGGTGAGTGTGAACAAAAGGAAAAGGCAAAATGTCACTCACATCTGACCTACATTGTATCCAATAAGAGTAAAATTAGTCTCATCTGATAGTGAAATTATTGTATGATTCTCGAGATTGTAATAGTCTTTATAAATATATCTTGTTGATGATTTAAAATAACTAAATTAAATGTGTATAAAATATTATATTAATACAGACCAACTCCTTTATTTCTCATGAAATCTGATAGCCTAGTTCAGATTGCAGAGTTAGGTTGGCAGTTGGGCAAGTTATTGTCTCCAAGAGCAATTGCACAAATTTATAATTCAGGTAAAATTGGCCTCCATTTCATGCTTCAATTATCAATGTTCACTGATCCTTGCAATTTGCAATAACAGGCAAAATAGAAAGTCGTTTGCTCCAGTCATAGGACAGTAAAGAAAACTCCAAGGATGCTAGTTCTTTCTAATAAGGGCATTTATACAAATTTTCTGGGGAAACTTTAATGCCATCTCTCCTTTTCAATTAAATAAATGAATAAAGGAGAAAAATTTACTAATTTATCCTGACATTTTTCTATGTGCACTCCTAATGTCCAGTGATGGTAGAATATCAGTGGAAAAGAAGAATGTGCGTGTATATATGTGTGTGTGTTTGCATATACATGTGTATGTGCCTGTGTGTGTGTATGTGTGTGCATATGTGTATATCAGTTACTTTACTGTTATGCCCTTCAAAAGTACCCATGGCCGAATTTTTGTTGGTGTCTTTTATGATGTTTGCTAAGATTCTTTGCATTTTATTTTCCCTTGCAGTATTTTAGACTTGGTACCCGTTAGGGTTTTCTTAAGCTGCAAGTAACATAAACTTGCAAAAGTGAGTTATCCAAACCCCTTTTCCTTCAGATAAGTGAACACTAGAGGTATACAGCTATGGATAGAAAATGGAATTCCAAACTGTCCCCAGTGAACCCAGCCCCTCTTGCTTTCTTGCTCTATGACCGTCGGGTGTGGTGCCATCCTCATGCTCACAGGATGGCAGTTTTACCTCTAGGCATCACATTTGTATTCCAGACATATGAGAAGGAAAAGGGGCCAAAATAGTGGTTCAGCTCAATCTGTATTTTTTTTCTTATTTCTTTAACTAGGGGAAAGTGTAAATGCAGTTCCCTACTGCCACAATCATGCAGTTGAGTTTATCACATGTGGGAAAATGACAGGGGTCAGTGCATGTGGAGTGCAATAGATAAGCTTTACCCTGGGAAAATCAACTTTGTGATCATGAGGTCTCCCCTGCTAAGTGAATCTGTTTCTTTTGATCTGAAAACAGCAGTTTTCCTAGGAGTCTCACCCAAGAAAATTAAGATTCTTGTTGACCAGAACTATGTCAAAAGGTCACCACTAGATGAAAGGAATCCTACAATATTGAGACTTTTAGTTGGACATGTAGCTAACCAACCAACATAGGAGTGTCCTTAGAAATAAACTAAAAGTAGTGATAAATACTGAATTGACCAATCACAGTGTCTTCCACAGTTTTTCTGTGGTTAGAATATGTTTTCTACATGGAAAACGTCTACATTTTTCTATGGTTGTTATATATTCATTTGTTACTTAATAATTGGCAATAGGTGATACAGTTTGGCATGTCCTCACCCAAATTTCATCTTGAATTGTGGCTCCCATAATCCTCATGTGTGGTAGGGAGGATCTGGTGGGAGGTAATTGAATCATGGGGATGGGCTTTCCCATGCTGTTCTTGTGATAGTGAATAAGCTTCACAAGATCTGATGGTTTTATAAAGGGCAGTTCCCCTGCACGCACTCTCTTACCTGCCACCATGTAAAACCTGCCTTTGCTCCTCCTTCACCTTCCACCATGATTGTGAGGCCTCCCCAGACATGTGGAACTGTGAGTTCATTAAATCTCTTTTTCTTTATAAATTATCCAGTCTTGGGTATTTCTTCATAGCAGTATGAAAATGGACTAACACACTGGGTATCGGTTAAAGATGCCTGTAATACTGCAATTCATAATAGTTACGGGGCCAAGAGGAGGGAGCCATGATCTTCAGGGGAATCCTCAAACCCTGGCTGACTCATGTGTGGAAGAGCCACAAGGTCCTCAGATGAGGCCCTGGGAGTAGCTCCCATCTTCTGCCTGGGCTATTGCTGTGCTCACTGGGTATCATGGTATGAGAGTGAATGGCAGGAGGGCAGACGTGAACAGGGAGAGAAAGGGCACAAGAGTTGCAGCTGGGGGGGAATGATGCACAGAAACCACATTGAAAGTCCCTCCTTTGGTTGCAGTGAGCTGAGATCGTGCCACTGCACTCCAGCCTGACGACAGAGTGAGATTCTGTCTTTAAGAAAAAAAAAAAAAGAAAAAGAAAATCCTTCATTTGCACTGAGCTGGAGATAGAGCATCACTATTCTCCTTGATGTAGTGTTTATCACAAAGAAGCACATCTTCCTGAAATCTTATAATCAGAACAATGTCTAATTTCTCTATAGGACATTGATAATCCCAGAGAGACCATATGATGATTATTAAAAACACAAAGAATACCTCTACCATGTGCTGGATACTGAACTAGAGCATTGATCCTGCAGTAGGTGCTGTGTTGGGTTCATTATCTACATTGTCTAACTTGACCCTTGTAACCCCTGTGGCACAGGGATTATTGACCCTATTTTATATATTTACACCATGGACAAGCAGGTCTCCAACTGACCAAGGGCCACTTGGTTGCAACAAGAAGTGAGTTGTCCTGAGAATAATGTCCATCAGAAGTACAGGAGAGACAGAGATACCCACAGTGTTTGAGCCCCTGGATCCAGCCATATCTGAAGCTAGACT